AGTCATTCAGAGCCTAAGTTTATAAGTTCCCTTTGGAATCCTACAACTTGATAAACTCATTTTAAACTCTTTATGGTGGAAATAGCATAATTTTGAAGAACAAGGTAGGGGACTCCATCCTGCCAGATAGTAAGGTCTGAGATGTGACTAACTCTCAGAAACATTTGATTAGTTGGAAGAAGCCAACATTAAAAAGAAGTAATTTACTTAAAGTTTGAAAACATGGAAAGCAATACTGTATATAGAGTTATGCATATGCAGTTATAGTCAAAAATTTTGTGTGGAATGACACCAAATTTAGGACAGCGGCCATGTCAGGAGAGGGGTAGGGAAGAGCATAAGTGATATCGTGGAAAGCATTCAACAGCTTTCAATATTTTGATTAAAAGGCAAGCATGGCAAAAATGTTCGACTTGCCCAGACCTGCTGGTGGAGACATGCGGTCGATAAGTTATCCCCTGTACTCTTTTTGTGTTAGAATTATCTCATTAAAAGTAACGAAATGGGATAAAATAAAAACAGAGTGCTGTAGGACTGTGAAGTGCCATGCTGTATGAAGTGATAGACTTTCTCGGGAATCGTTGACTATAGGGGTTGTAGGAGGCTGTGTGTGGTCACGCCATTTGGCTTCCACAGAAGTGTACTCTATCATTGGAGATGAGAACAAGCTGCATATAATTTTGTTTAAAAATGCAGTATTATAGAAGTGTTCAGTGGGCGGCAAAATAGAAATAACCTGCTTCAGTCCACAGATCAGAATTTGGATCATCTAATCATTGGACAGAATAAGTACATTTAAAAATAGTTGACCACTTGTTTACTTGTGTGTGTGTGTAAACTGGGCCTACTCTGGACCCCATCTATATTCCTTCCAACTGAAGTATGAACTTGATTGTTTACTTCCCAAAAATAATATTTTGCTGTTTAGAAAAAAATGTAACAGCCAAGTCCTAGAATTTTTTTTTCACAGTTCTTTATTAATAGTTTTTCCCTCAAAAAATAAAAACAAAAAAAGAAAAAAAAATAGTTTTTCCCTCAAAGCTCCTTCTGTATAGGGGCAGAAAGTATGGAACACTGTACTGCAGATGCCTTTGCCATATGATTAGTGGCTCATTTTTATTAGCTTGCTGATAAGATCAGTATCTCCACTGAGATGATATTTCATGTTTTCTAATATTGACCAGCAGAAGGTGTGTGTGATAGAAAAACTCTGGATGCAAGTCAAGAGTACTGGGTCTTTGTTGTGGCTCGGTTGCTAGCAATGACTTTGGATATATTTGTCTGGATCTGTTTCCTTCCTTGCAAAACAGAAGGGCTAAAATCTAAAGTTTAGTTCCAAGATGCTAGGTCATAAGACCTATGTCTCTGTGATCCTGCTTCTCCCAGAAATGAATTTAGAAACAGCTATTGGCTGGCTTTCCCCCTCCAAAGGGCCATGTTGGTACTTCCCACCAAACCATGTAAGGAGGTGGTCTGTGGCATCCGGCTCATACCTAGAGCTGCTGGAACTCAGGCATGCCCAGTGCCAAAAATGGTCCTCAGTGTACTCCTGTCACTGACCCAGCACTTGACCACAACAGCCATTTCCATGAAAACAAGAAGCCCTGCTCCAGCTTCTTAAAAATACAAAAGTTGGGGCTGGGGTTGTGGCTCAGTGGAAGAGCGCTTGCCTAGCACATGTGAGGCAAAGGGTTCGATCCTCAGCACCACATAAAAATAAATAAATTAAATAAAGGTACTGTGTCCATCTACAAGTAAATACACATTTTAAAAAA